AATTCAATTAGCGTCTTTATTTTTAGTATGGTTAGGGCTGAGCCCATTGCTGTGAGTCTGCCACAGGGGGTTTTAAGTATCTCTTGGGGCTCTCTACTCTTTGCTTCTTAGTGAGTAGGCATGGAGAGCTTGGGGGTGGCTGTCCATACAAATAATGAGCATTCATATAATAATGAGTAATAGTGATAGCAGGACTTAAAGTGGAGGGGAAGGAGAGAGGGGGAAGAAAGAAAGAAACTAAGTGCCAATAATGTTTCACATTGAGTGAAACTTCTAGAGTGGAAGGAAAACTTGGAAGATAAGGACTGCTGGTGTTGGTACTTGAGGATGGAGGACAGTAGTTTGTAAGTGATGCTGATCCCCAACCTGAGGTGTAGGAGTCAGAGGCCTGCAGGGGAGGCAGCATTTTCAGGAAAGTCAGGTTTCCACAAGGAGGTGAAGAGAAGGTTCAGTGCCGTTTTCCATAGAGCTAGCACTCCAGAGGGCAGTGGAGTGGAAGAGTTGTAGGAAGGGGAGTAATAGGTGGCTGGGGCAAAGGAGAATAACAACTGAGTAGGGGACAAGACAGACAAATGGATGGTCCCAGAGGGTTGTATATTTTGTGAGTGGCGAGTAGGGTGGAAGTACGTTTTACTTCTCATAACCATTGGTTTTCCTCCTACCTCTTCCTGATGCTTTCTCATTTCGAACTGGCGGCGTTTTTGGACTCATACTGTTACTTCCACTGCACTATTCCTCTACCTCATTGAACCTATCACCCAGTCCTTTTTCACCTCCCCCTAGCTGCATTTCTTTCCCTATCTAGCATATGTTAAGCCCAACTCTCCTTTACCGATATCCTCAGCTCCTCGTATAGTTGGCTTTCCTGTTGTACCCAGCTGGCCAAGTCTGATCTCTGGATGCACACTCACAGCCTTTATCCACACTGGAGATGATTTTTCATGTAGTTGGAAAGTTGTGGGTCATATTAACTTCCTTATCTGCAATCTCATCCTGGCTCTCAGTGCTGCCCAGCACCTTCCCCCTTTCCTTAGGCAGCATTCTTTCTTCACAGTGGCTACTTCACTTTTCTAAGCCGACTCTGCTGCCCTACCCACACCTGTGCTCTGCAGATGGTCTTTCTGCATTCTTCTTTTTTCTTTTTTTTTTTGCGGTATGTGGGCCTCTCACTGTTGTGGCCTCTTCCGTTGCGGAGCACAGTCTCCGGACGCACAGGCTCAGCGGCCATGGCTCACGGGCCCAGCCGCTCTGTGGCATGTGGGATCTTCCCAGACCGGGGCACGAACCCGTGTCCCCTGCATCGACAGGCGGACTCCCAACCACTGCACCACTAGGGAAGCCTCTTTCTGCATTCTTTACAGATCAAGATTACCTCAGCTTTCTGCCATCAAAGCTATTCTCTGCCTTTTTTTCTAAATATGGCCAGTAAAAATACTACATGCACATACGCATCCCCCTCCCTCAAACCCATATTCCTCTCAGTACCGTCTATTGCCTTTTCCTCCATAGCCAGACTTCTTAAAATGTGTCTGCTCTTCCTTCCCTTCCATTCTTCTTCGGCTTGCTTTGCTACATTAGCTTCAGCCCCATCATTCCTCTGAGGTTCCCCTGGCCAAGGTCATGTATGGTCATCCTTATCACCAATTCTAGTGGCCTCTACTTAGTTCCTCCTCTTACTGGGCCTCTGTACTGGGCATTGTTAAGCACTTCTTCCTAGAAATGCTCTTTTTATGGTGCCCTGCTTCATATCTTCAGGTTTTCTTTCTCTGTCTCTTGCTGAACCTTGGTGAGCTCCTCTTCCTGTGCCCGTCCCTTAATTATTGGTGTTTATCAAGGTTCTCTTCTAAGCCCCCTTCACTCCTCTGGATGACCTTTATCTCCCCACCTGTTGGGAGGACTTATCAAATCTGTTATTTCCTCTCTAGACCTCTGACCTGAGCTTTAGAACAGTAGTACCTTCAACTGCCTATTGGACATCTCAACAGCACATTATCATCCTAAGCAACCACCCTCACATGTTCATTGGTGCACTGAATGGCACTGTATCCAGTTACCTAAATCAGAAACCTAGGCATCGTTTTTACTTTGCCTGATTCCCAACATTACTCACCCTTTGTACTTAGAGAAACACAATATTTCTCCTTTTGTTTCATTCCTAGTTCAGCCATAGTCGTTTCTTACCCAGGAAACTATAGCAGTCTAACTGGTTTCCTTGCCTCTAGTATTTCTTGCCCTGCTACTCGTTCCATTTCCATACTCCAAAAGGAAAAATTTCAAAATGCAAAATCAGATCATGTCATTCCTCTACTGAAATCCTTCATTGGCTTCCTACTTCTTAAGGTCAAGTCCAGACTCCTTACGCATGATCTGACCTCTGCTGACTTTGCCAGCTCATTTCTCATTACTTTTTTTTTTTTTTACTACCATTATCCCAAATCTCACCAAACTTTTATACCCTCAAGGGCACACAGTGTTCCTTATGGTACTTCCCTTCACCTGTGCCTGGTCTTCCCCGAGAGCTCAGTGTCCTTGATTATCCTCAAGTCCAGGAAACATTCCTTTTCTCTGTGCATCCAGGGCATTATTATTTACCTCCCTGTCAGACTAGTTTTCAAGCCATAATGCAGTGGACTGCTTTTTTTATCCCTGACTATATTGTAAGCTCGTTGAGGGTGGAAACTGCCTCCCTTGTTTATTCCCTGTAGTATTCCTGGCACTGAGCACAGTGCACAGCATATCATAAACAAATATTTATTTTAGAAACAAATAGATAAAGTAGACTGTTATAGCTGCGCAAAGCAAGGCTGCTCAAAATACTGAATATGGGCAAGTTGAAGGTTTGGGAAAAAGGGAGACTCAATTTGTATTCCTCCGTAGCAGTGCCGTAGGAACCGTGTTCATGACGACAGTCTTAACTACAACATTTAAGTAGAAATTGGATAAAAGACTTGGCTGCAAGCAAAGTATTGGGGTCAGAGCAAGAATCTAGGTATACCAAATCCAAACTTAACCAATTGCACTTAAGTAACCACCCTAGCTTTAACAAAACTGGGTTTTGTCTGGTGGATGCCACCTTTTGTATGCTTGTAGGGTTCAGTACCACTGCCCACACCACGTAGAATCCTATCTAGATTATTTTTTAATACAGAAGGTTAACAAGCCTATGCAGACTGTAATACAATCTCAATCACCAGTTGTATCTAGAAGCCTTTTTAATCTTCTGTTTTCTCATATGTGCATGATTTTCAATGGAAGAAAAAGAGTAGAAATAATATTAGAGAATTGTAAAAAGAGACCCACAATCATATTCAAATTTGATTACTTTTCATAGCTTTTAACTAGCCCATATATATTTTTATCTTGTTATATGTAACTCTTTGTATGCTATACTTACACTTTTCCCAAATTTCTACATAGCACTCCAGTGACTATCGTTTGACATCATGACACTTTGCTTATTTAAAGTTCTTGCTGTTAGGCTAAATTCTCAGAGATGGGATTATAGGGTCAGAGAGTGTAAAAATTGTAAGGCTTTTGCTTTGGAATTGTCCATGATTTTCCAAAAGGGTTATACTAGAAGTTGGCAGGAGTATGAAAGTACAAGGTGTCTTAATGACCTTGAAGCATTGAAGTGAGTGAGGTGAGAGGGGAAGAGAAAGCTGTGTACATAAAATCTTATTTATATTGGTTTAACTTTTATGATGTGTCACAAAGGATTTTTTTTTAAGTAGGGAGAAATAATTTTGTATCAGATGACAATATATTCAATTAAAAATACCCTTTAAAGAGTAAATGAAAATTTGTACCTGTTACGACTCTATTTATTCCATGTTAACTCCTAGATATTCTAAAATTCATCCTTTTAAGTCAGAACATTCAAGAGCTGAGTACATAGGTTGAATTTTAACCCTTTTTTTTTTTGGCCCCAACCGGGGATTGAACCCACACCCTCAGCAGTGAAAGCTTGGAGTCCTAACCATTGGACTGCCAGGGAACTCCCTTGGGTCCGATTTTGTCAAATCTACATTCCTTAGGAGAAAATTGTTAAAATTGTTTAAAATTGAGATAAGATTGTTAAATCTTTCATAAGGCATCCCAGTATAAATATGATATTAGTGATCCTATTATTTACTCCATTTGTGCCGTTGAACTTGCTTGCTTGCTTGCTGCGTTGGGTCTTCATTGCTGCGCATGGGCTTTTCTCTAGTTGTGGCGAGTGGGGGCTACTCTTCGTTGCAGTGCATGGGCTTCTCATTGCAGTAGCTTCTCTTGTTGCGGAGCACGGGCTCTAGGTACGCGGGCTTCAGTAGTTGTGGCACACGGGCTCAGTAGTTGTGGCTTGCGGGCTCCAGAGTGCAGGCTCAGCAGTTGTGGCGCATGGGCTTAGTTGCTCCGCAGCATGTGGGATCTTCTGGACCAGGGCTCGAACCCATATCCCCTGCATTGGCAGGCGGATTCCTAACCACTGCGCCACCAGGGAAGTCCCCTTTTGAGCTTTTCTGGTTTAGAATTTTGTTCTATTAAAATGATAAGCAGTAGAGAACCCCATTGACCTCTAAGTGGTGACAAACCTGTCATATGCAGGTCATTTAAAAGCAGACTAGATTTGAATGCATAAAGCATTATAGAATGAAGTAGAGTATAATTACAGTTTATATATAGCTATAGTTAGATATATATATTTGTCAGAGTACTCCAAAGTTTTTTCTCCTAAGGGATGTGAGTAGAAAGTGAGAGACTTGAAGTTCTTACTTTTATATACGTCCATGTTGTTTCAGCATTCATTTAACAATGTGCATGTATTCTGTTTAATAATTTTTTTTTTTTAACAGAACACTGCCCAGTTTCCTTCACATGGGTAACAATTTCGCTGAGGCAAGCTTTCATGAGGGGATTCTGTTTCAGTGATTAAACTGGGAGGAGAAATCTGTCAGTGAGTTGTTTCTGCTGCTTATAAGGAGTCAAAATGTAGTGCTTATTTTTTTCCCCTTCTGTCTCAGGTCATTTGGATCCAGGATTCCTAGCAAGTGACAAAACATCTGCTGGCAATGCACCACTCAACGAAGAAATTAATATTGCTTCTTCAGATAGTGAAGTGGAGATTGTGGGAGTTCAGGAACATGCAAGGTAGGATATTAATTGGAGAGAAGAAAATGGTATGGCATGCCATGGCATGGCTGGCATGAATGGTGGGGCTATTTCTCAAATTCCTGTGGTTTAAGAAATACATTTTGATTATAGACACGTATGAGCTTCAGAATGTGTTGCATATTGTCTTATATCAAGAACATCTCGGTCACACATGTATGTGAAACAGAACTAATGTTTGTCTCTTATTTTTAACAAATGTCTAGGTGGCTTGACTGAGTTTTCTGGTATGGCATAAGTATCACCGTACTCCCCCCCACCCCCAATACATATTTTCTTGCCTTTCACTTTATCTTGAAATATTTTGGAAGCAAATAATTGAGAAATCTGCATTTGACATCATACCTCTTCCTAGAGCACCTCTTTTTTTTTTTTAACATCTTTATTGGAGTATAATTGCTTTACGTTATTGTGTTAGTTTCTGCTGTATAACAAAGTGAATCAGCTATATGTATACATATATCCCCATATCCCCTCCCTCTTGCGTCTCCCTCCCACCCTCCCTATCCCACCCATCTAGGTGGTCACAAAGCACAAGCTGATCTCCCTGTGCTATGCGGCTGCTTCCCACTAGCTATCTATTTTACATTTGGTAGTGTATATATGTCCATGCCACTCTCACTTCTTCCCAGCTTACCCTTCCCCCTCCCTGTGTCCTCAGGTCCATTCTCTACGTCTGCGTCTTTATTCCTGTTCTGCCCCTAGGTTCTACAGAACTATTTTCTGTTTTAGATTCCATATATATGTGTTAGCATGCGGTATTTGTTTTTCTCTTTCTGACTTACTTCACTCTGTGTGACAGACTCTGGGTCCATCCACCTCACTACAAATAACTCAATTTCGTTTCTTTTTATGGCTGAGTAATATTCCATTGTATATATGTGTCACATCCTCTTTATCCATTCATCTGTCGATGGACACTTAGGTTGCTTCCATGTCCTGGTAGAGCACCTCTCCTTACCTTTCATGAAAGGTTGCAAGTTACTTTGGTCAGTTCCTGATAGTGTATTTCTAGTGATGTTTGTGTGATTTAGGGAATCTTGTTTCTTAGGAATTAAAAAAAAAAAGCCACAAGACATCAAATTAGTGTACAGTATTATGGAAATAATTTTATAAGGTTTGTCATTCTTTAAGGTAGTGGTGAGCAGATTACAGCCCATGGGCCAGATCTGGCCTGCTGCCTGTTTTTATATGGACCTCAAGCTAAGAATGGTTTTTACATTTTTAAATGGTTGGGGGAAAAAAAATCGAAAGAAGACATGTTTTGTGACATGAAAATTATATGAAATTCAAATAGAATTTATTTATCCATAAATAAAGTTTTGTTGGAATAGAGCCATGTTTGTTCACTTACATATTGTCTATGGCTGTTTTGCACTCCAGTGGCAGAATTGAGACGTTTCATCAGACACCCTAGGGCCTGCCGAGCCAAAGATATTTACTGTCTAGCTCTTTGCAGAAAAACTTTACTGACTCTTGCTTTAAGATACAGTCCTAAGAATTAGTTGCAGCCCTCTCAGAGGTATACCTGAGGAACATTTAACACACACACATACATACACAACAAAATCTAGTCTTTGGAAAAATCTGTATTCTATGTAGAATTTTTCTCCTATGCCACAAGAGTTAAGTTGTGATTTCCTCAAGTAGGTATATAACATAGTATCTTACCTTATTTTTAGATCTGATTTTAATCTTTGGTTAGGAAGGTAATAAAACATTCACCAGCATTCTTCTGTTACTTACTTAAAAGGTGAATTTAGGAGTGGAGAGTGGGGGCAAAATAGACATGCACATAAATTGAGGATCCTTCTTCTAATGAGAACTGATTATACTTTCTGAAAGCATTTTTTAGTTAAACAATTGGAACTTTAAGTATGTAGATTTAAGTCATAATTTAACATGCCATCTCCCCAGAAGTGGCTAATTCTCTGTCAGAACTAGTATTGTCCCAGCACTTCATCCTCTATCCTATATTTATGCTGTAAGTATGCCTGTATAGCTGCTTCCTTTTTTCTTTCTAAATGGTTATTTCCCCTATTCTGGTGGGAAAGAATTTTCATTCTTTAATCTTTCCTTTACCTCATTCTTTTTTCTCCTTTTTTCTGCCTTAGTCAAAAACTTTTTCCTATGAAGTTCTCTTTCATTTCCCCATCTATTTCCTTCAAGCTGACTTATCCATGAGATGAAGAAGATAGAACTCTTGTTTTCTTCCTTTACTTCAGTATATGTTTGTCATTATTTTATTTCAGCATTATATAAGTATAGAAGACATTATTATATTTTTAAGCCCCATGCCAAGATCTTTGTAGAATATTACAGTATTTTTCATTTCAGACTGTGTACTATAAAACTTATTCTGCATATTGACTGATAGATTGATGTAGGTAAATTATCGTCAGTTGTGCCAGGAGCACATTATCCAGTTACCAACTTCCTCTTGACTTACTTTTCAAATTTTAACTCAGTGTTACTCATGTGTTCCTACTCAAGTAGGAAAGAATAGGTTATAACCTGTGCTGTCTTGTCTAATCTCTTACTCTGTTCTGAGACATATCAGTGATATGGTCCAGTTCTCTATTAACTCCTACCGACTCTCCCTTCTTTATTGTCTCCTTGTGCCTAGAAATGTTACAGAGTGAGCTACCCTTCTTTTCAGATTCTTTGTTAAACTTTCCTTCCATAATGATATCTTGAGCTTCTTTTTCTACAAATATTTTTGTTATCTGGAGTTGAAATTACTATATTTCTATTAAAACTTGGAAATTTAAATTCCAAGTTTCTCTCACCTCCAGCACGCACACATGCACACCGATTATCTCTAGTACACCCTTCTCTGAACTTGTTAAAGTCTTTTATCCAGATTGTCATTTTACCCTATAAACATCTTTGTTTCACTCTTAACTAAGTCAAGTGACTTTGGGTACATTTTAAATAACATGCTATAACATTACTTTCAAGGACTTTTTCATACAGGTTCTGAAGCCTAAAGATGTGTTTTTTTGGTTTTTTAAATTCTGATCCTTTAATTTGAATCCTGGAGAAATCATATCTTGGAGGTGACAGATCTATCTTGAAATCTCAGTGGTGGTTAATAACGGTCCATAAAATGCAATGTAGAGTTGACAAATTCTGTTGGAGTACTTTGAATGGACTCTTGTATCATTTTGAGGGGATCTTTTATTTTGACCCTTGGGTCTAGGACTGAGCAGGATCTCACTGACTCTGCTGTGTCTTTCTGAAAAATTTTTCAGCAGTTTCTTTAGAAGAAGCATGATAATCTTTCAAACATTGAGATTAAAAAGCTGAGAAGTGGGACTTGCCTGGTGGCGCAGTGGTTGGGAATCCACCTGCCAATGCAGGGGACACGGGTTCGAGCCCTGGTCTGGGAAGATCCCGCGTGCTGCGGAGCAACTAAGCCCGTGTGCCACAACTACTGAGCCTGTGTGCCACAGCTACTGAGGCCTGCATGCCTAGAGCCCGTGCTCCACAACAAGAGAGGCCACTGCAATGAGAAGTGCACCGCAACAAAGAGTAGCCCCTGCTCACTGCAGCTAGAGGGCCCGCGCGCAGCAACAAAGACCCAAAGAATAAATAAATAAATCAAAAAAAAAAAAAAAAAAAGCTGAGAAGCAGGTGGGGGGAGAGCCTTTCTTGTTGGTTGCTTCAGAATTGCCCCTTTAGCTGCCTGTATCTCATCTGGAATTTATTTCTTTTACAGGTCTAGGGTTGCAGTTATGAAGTATTGATGGGCTTCTGGCAGGGTTATCGCTTGGAAGAAGGTTTTAGGTTTTGATCCACATCTTTTTGTTCTAATTCGATTTGCATGCATAGATGTTTTGTTTGGATTTAGTTGTCCTGTTCTTATTTTTCCTTTTGGTATTCTACCTTGTGGGCTTTCTGAGAGCTTTAAAAAACTCAGACTTGGTTCTTGAGTTGTTCTCTTTGGGACTGTGGTTGCTCTGACTTGGGTTTGGGTGCCATTTTTCCATATTGGAAGCATTCCGGTTTGTTGACCTTTATATCAGTAATTCTAGTTGTGATGTGCCTCTTTTTTCTTTTCTTTTTTTTTTTGTTAAACAGTTGTTTTTCTTTTCTTGCATGCTAACATCTTCCCCTGCTCTTTTCTTTTAGATTTTGGTATGTTCACTTAGCTTCTGTGTTTCTTCTAGTCATAGACTAGAAGGCATGCCTGCCTAACTAATGGTTGAATGCATCTTTTATGGCTGCCTTGGATTGCTGTGATGAACTCCTGTCATTACCTAGATGTCATTTCTAGGTGTTAATTTTTGGACAGTCCAGTTTCACAAGATGCTCTTTGCCAGTGAGGTGGAGACTTTTCCATCATCTCTAGTTCTTCTGTGCCCGCTTAATTTTGCCATAAGTTTTAACTTATGACCCTGTTGCTAATATTTTTCTTTATCCTTGTTCCATTTTCCTTCTTTTCTTCTGCAAGCTTCATTGGTAATTGCCCTAGGAAGATGAATGCATGTATCTTTATGTTATGGAACTGTGCTGAAACAGTTCTTTCAGTACCTGTTCTCTGAAGCTTTTATGAATAATCAGACCCTTACCTCCTTTAACATGGTCCTATGGTCCATTGGTTAATGTTGGTTCACCCCTCTTCAGAAGAATTGCTGTGGGGAGTCTTTAGCATTTAAGGCTGATTGCTGCTTAGAACCAATTGCTAACATTAACCCTAAAAAAAGCAAGGGAGGCAGATTAGCATTTCCCTGAAGCTACAAGGATTCACTCTACCTTCAGTTAGGAAAAATAAGTAGGAATGTTATCTAAGAGGTCACCTTCAGAATCTGTAAATGAGAGCAAAAATGATTAATTTTTAATGTTGTTTTCTTAGAATAGTAGGTTAACTGTATCAACAGCTGATCATCAGAGCCTGCCCTCTTTTTGTGTTTTTCTTCCTTTCTACTCTGAAGTCTCCTTTTTTTGGTTTTAATATATGAAGAGCAGGAAATTATTCTATCAAAACTTACTGTTTATAAATAGTGGATGGGGGGGGCGGTCTATGGAAGTGAGGCCTAAGCAGTTTTTCTTGGTTACAATACTCAAAATGTGACTCTAGTTGTGCAAACCTATTGCCAGTCATATGCAGATTAAATGCTTTGTGAGAAAAAAGCTTGTGTCTGCACTAGAATCTGATTGGACCAATTATAAAACAGCTGAGTATGTTCCCACCCCATATCTTTCATAATAGAAAAAGGATATGTGATAATACATGAAACTGTGCTTTGTTAGTTGCCTTAACAAAATTTTGAGCCTCTCACATCCTTCTTTAGAGGGCATCTCTGTAGGGCTTATAACAATTGTTGTAGTCGCATTTCCTCCTGAAATTTTTTACCCCTCTGCATCTGGTATAAGTTATTCTGTAATGTACCATCTTATAAAATAGGGCTCAACCTTTTTTCCCCGTACTTAAAAAAAAATGTGTTAAAAGCCTTGTTCTGTCCTCATCCATCTCCTAGCTACCATTTTATTCAAGGTGGCTGAAGTCATTAAATCATAAAAAAAAATTTGAATGTTTTATTGGCTTATAACACACACAGAAAAGTAATAAGTGTACGCTTTAGCTTTTGTACCCATACCCAAGTAACCAGCTCTCAGATTAAGAAACAGAAGTCCCTCTTGGCTCCACCTTGCCCTCTGTAACCACTATCCTGACTTCTAACAGGATAGCTTTGCCTGTATTCAGAATCTTACTAACATTCCTGACAGATGCCCCAGCAACTGCTTGAATGTTTAAAAGGCAGATTTTCTATTTTGTAGTAGCTGTAATTGTTGTGTAGTAATGATCATCCAAAAGTTGCCTTCTAGAAACTGATTCATGGTTGTTATTCTGCTCTCAAGATCTCTGTACTGGTGAAGGAGCTGCCTTCCATGATGATTCTCACTTCTTTGGCAATTGCCCTTCCAGTTGCAGTTAATAGGAGACAGGAAAACTTTTGACCAAAGATAGGATCATCACATTCTCCAGAGAATCTAAAATTTTGAAGAGAAACAGACTAAGGATTGGGGCTTGAGTCAAATGAGTGAGGCCAAGTTGTTCCAGCATCATTAGGTTCTTTGAGGTACTCAAAGGTGCTTTTCCAGTAAATTTTCTTTTTTGCTTAAAGTAGCCCAATTTGGTTTCCAGTAACTGGAACTGTTTATAACCTCTTTCAACCATTCCTCATTAGTAAATACCATCTCTAAACCTCTTACTCTCCTACTCTGGACACTTTCTAGAATCTGCTTTGCTCTTTATTGTATTACCCGCAGGGGCTAGGCAGTTCCCCTTACAATCAAACATAGTGTATAGTAAGTACTTCGGGAGCAGTCTGAGAAAGACATAGTTGGAAATAAACTCCCCAGTGGAGACCTGATTTTGTTCTGGTTCCATGTTTTACTTTCTTAAGACCCTGGGCAGTTGTCTTTTGGTTTTGGTTTTCTCTTCTGTAAAATGGGAAGATTGGATTAGATCCCTTTTAAAGCCACTACCTGATGTCCTGATGTTACATTGTATGATTACTTAAGGAGCAGGGCAGAGTAACAATTGGGACTAAATACTGCTTTTATTTCAGAGTTATTTCTGGGAATTCTGTCAATGATTACATTGACTTTTTTTGGTAGTCATTCATTCCCTGATTTTTCTAAGTTTCTAACCAACTTTACTTCAATTACTACTTGACAGATGAGCTTTTGAACTGTTGAAGAGCTTTATATTTTTAAATTGGTGGTCTGGGCCTGTCTTTGCACTCTGCTGACTCTTGCCGTGTTTTGCCTTACTGAATTTAATACACACATTTGTAAAGCAACAACATGATGTGGAAAGCATTGGACCAGAAATCAGACTTGGCCTGAAGTTCCTTTGCCTATACTTTCAAACAGTATGACCCTGGGCAAGTCATGTAACCTCTCTAACCCTCAGTTTCCCTGTCAGAGTATGGATAAGAACTTCCACATCTACCTCATAGGTCTGTCGGGCGTGTCAGATGAGGAGAAACTGCTTAATAATCTTAGTATTCTGTTGTCATCAGTCATCAAAACCGTTCCTTTAAAATGTTGGATGGGGCTTCCCTGGTGACGCAGTGGTTGAGAGTCCGCCTGCCGATGCAGGGGACACGGGTTCGTGCTCCGGTCTGGGAAGATCCCACTTGCCGCAGAGCGGCTAGGCCCGTGAGCCATGGCCACTGAGCCTGCGCGTCCGGAGCCTGTGCTCCGCAACGGGAGAGGCCACAGCAATGAGAGGCCCGCGTACCACAAAAAAAATAAAAATAAAAAAAATAAAATGTTGGATGGACTCCTTTGGCTGAGGTTTTTCCGTGACTACTCGGTCATTTAATCTGAGTGTATTTAAGGGGTGGACAGATTTGGATTAGACTTTGGACTTGTTTTTCTTTTTTTTTTTAAAGGTTTAATTTTATTTATTTTTGGCTGTGTTGGGTCTTCGTTGCTGCGCTCGGGCTTTCTCTAGTTGAGGCGAGCGGGGGCTACTCTTCGTTGTGGTGCACAGGCTTCTCATTGCAGTGGCTTTTCTTGTTGCGGAGCACGGGCTCTAGGCGCATGGGCTTCAGTAGTTGCAGCACACGGGCTCAGTAATTGTGGCACACAGGCTCTAGAGTGCAGGCTTAGTAGTTGTGGCGCACTGGCTTAGTTGCTCCGTGGCATGTGGGATCTTCCTGGACCAGGGATCGAACCCGTGTCCCTTGCATTGGCAGGTGGATTCTTATCCACTGCACCACCAGGGAAGTCCCTGTGTGTCTTATTTTAATGCTTTTTACTAGCTAATCTTTGAAAATATGGTCGCCTCTGGGTTAGTAGCTACTCTTAGCCCATTTCTGAAAAGATGATGGCTCTCTGGTACTGTAACAAATCTGCAGTCTACCCCTACTCTGGCCTCAAGGGATCTGTTTTTCGGCACCTCTCTTGGTAAGGGAGTCATTTTCAGGCTAGCCTTTGTAGGAGCAGGGCCTCTTTCCATAAGCCTAAGGGTCCTTAAGGGCAGTTCTGCAGCTAAACCTTGTCTGTTGTTACTCTAATGTTTTCCTTTGAACCTATAGGTTCAGGTAGCGTGGGGTCGAAGCTGGAGTTCTTAAGTGATTCAGCATCACTCATCGTATACATGTTGTCAGAACAGCTGCTCACGATCCATTGTAGTAGTTTGTGTGATTATAATCATGCCACTTGTCACTTCTCACATATGCTGCAGGGAGACAGGTCTATAATTTACATGTGTGGACCTCAGGAGCAGTGATAACTTGAGCTGCCTGCCTTCCTCTCATATGAATCAAAACTTACTCAGTGGTTCATCCTGGAGGTTCACAGTTCTATCATTTGACTGCAATGTGGAATTCAATATGTAGGTATTTCTGAAACAGTTCTCTCCCGATCAGTGAACTCATGAGATTTGTCAGCAAGGCAGTTCTGTCCCTCTTATAGGATACTTTTAGAGAATCTAAACTGAGTACTTCAGCCTTGTTATTTTCACTGAAGCATAAGTGGTTGTGATGAACTAGCCAGGTGTTTCTCTTGTCACCTTCAGGTTGAGGGAAATTGATCTTTAACTCATGACCTAGTACTTAAAGATGTTTAGACATCTAATCTGTAAAAGGGGTATTACTACTTCTGTTTTTGTAAGTACTATTAACAAATATGGCACAGAACTTATTTTAAGAACAAGTTTCACTTGTATTTCTTACTGTTTCATTAGCTCAGACTAAGATTGTCTGGGCATCTTAATTTTGCTCAGGATTTATATGTTGCCCTATCCTGAAGACCCCAGGGGCTTAAATGAATTCAGAGAAGCATCATCTTATCCATTTTCAGTACAGATCTAGATGTAACTCAGGACTTTGTAGCTGAGACAAAAATCCTGGCATTTTTAAGGCTAAACTGAGAGAGGTGGGGAGACAGACCAGACATGGACGGAAGGAGGAAGAGGGGGAGGGATATTGGTTATGGGTTTGATGAACTTGCATAGTAGGTTTATCTCAGTACAACTGAAGCCATTTTGCCTTCTGTAGGATTAACCATGCTTTTGCTCTTCATTTCAATTTCAGGTGTGTTCATCCTCGAGGAGGTGTGATTCAGAGTGTTTCTTCATGGAAGCACGGCTCTGGCACGCAGTATGTTAGCACCCGGCAAACACAGTCATGGACTGCTGTGACTCCCCAGCAGACTTGGGCGTCACCTGCAGAAGTTGTTGACCTTACATTGGATGAGGATAGCAGACGTAAATACCTACTGTAATGCAATGTCACTGTGTTTCCTCTGCACTGTTCCCTTCCACTTACTCCTCCTCCTCTTTGTGACATGGAAGTTCATTGTCATAGCTTCAGCTTCAGAAGCTGTTTGTGGCATTTGTATAATTGAAACTCATGGAAAATTGCCCCCTTCCCTTTTTTTTTTTTTAAATTAAAAGAAGTCACTTAGGAAAGTAACTTATCACAGAGAAAAGAATTTCTTCTTTCCCTCAGTAGGAATCTGAGAATGATGAATTTTATTAGACAACTTCATTTTACTTGGTGACTTTCAATCTTAGGAAACTGCCTTCCTTTTAGAATGATATTTTAATTACCAGGTGAAATGGATTTCAGTTTTTGAATCTTGTATTTATTTTTCTGTGTAATAAAATTAATATGTAGACTTGACCACTGTCAGCCCACCCATTGGCACTCCTACCTTAGGGCATTTGCACACATATTAGTCAGTTCCTTTTTGGCACCTAGTAGGGCATGTGCATTGAAAACCTGTCCTTAAAAATAGAAGACAGAAGTGTTACTTTTCTTTTAGCTTAAGTCTTCTGCCTTTTTTCCTGACTTTGCTCCTGGCTGAATTCCCACAACACAAATAATTGACATGACCCTTTGTGTTTATAAATACTGCTAAGGTGACTTAGTTGATCTCCTTGTTGCAATAATTCATAACTCTGGAAAATATCTCCTTGTGAGGCAGAGGCATTTCAGATAGATACCCCACCATGAGGTTTGGGCATCTGAGGAGAGTATTGAGAGATCCCTTTTCTCCCCCTGGTTTGTTCAAATAATGGGAGAAACATAGAACCTGTTACTTAGGTAGAATATGAAAAGTTGTGTAGCTTCTAAGGCTTTGGGCACTTGAAAAATCTGAGAGGGCAGTGCCGCCTTCTGTAGCTGGTCTCTCTGTAAAGGATGTAATGACAACTGTTTGATACTTGAGCTGAAGTTGACCTGTTGCTATATTTGGGTATTTTTCTCCTCTACCTTCTAAAAGTGGAAAATTCAAAATACATCATAAGAAACCAGATGCAAAACACATTAATGGCCCTGTAGGTTTTATAGTATCTAACAGGAATAACAAAGGGTAGTAGGAGCATCAGGGAATTCAGGAAATGCCGGTGTTGGAGTTTTGTGGCATTAGTTACTACCTTTTTTACTATAACATTGTAGTTACTAGTGAATTATTTTACAAGCAATACCTAGAATTAGAACACTATGTACTGTGCACAGGGAGGAGTGAAGTAATGCTGGCTTAGAAGACCTCACTTTTTGTTTTTCCACAGTTTTTGTCTGCTTTTGTTTCCATTTTTACCATATAATGGGGCTCTAGCCCTTTGCCTCCCTTCCCAAATGCCTTGGCGGCTCTTCCTTATCATACGAGCATGAGAACGACCATTTTCAGTTTCCACTCAGCGGACACACATTTATACCAAGTGCCTGTTCTGCCTAAGGCGCTGTGGTGGTGCTGTGGGGCTGCTGCGGAGAACAGGACACCCACCGCATGTGCGTGCGTCCGGCTGCCTGGCTCCAGCTGCCTGGCCTTGTCTCCTGTGTGTGTAAAGACTCGCTTATTTCTTTACCCTTCTTCGTGCTGCTTTAGTTCGTCCATACACCTCTCCATGGGAATGTATTTAAGCATGTATTCTTTCACCTTCTCTGATAACATCGCACTTGATCTGGCCTCTGTTCTTCATCAACTTTTTATTTTCCTATCATTCTACTTTTAATAGATCAGGCTTTTAAAGAGATCTTGAATCTCCAGTTTTAGCACCTCATGTCTCAAGTCTCTCACGTGGCCACAATTCTAGACAAAAACCAAAGACCCAGAGGCCAGAGCGAAATAGGACCTTCTGCACATTCACTACTGGTGTATCCTTGGACCTTCACATTTTACTTTAGGATTAATTTATTGAATTTTACTGTTACACGTTGTTTTTGACTTGAATTAAAATGCTAGACAGAGCAGAAATGTACAATTTCTGGTCTATATTTTCCAGGAAAATCATTGGGGAAAGAATAGAGTGGATTCTATGACTTGAAGTTTTTGCAGCTTATTTTCCCCCCACTATCAGGGCAGAGCCCCATTTTAAAGAACATTTTTGCATTACCTGTTCTTACGTTAGCAGTATGTTTTGGCCAATTCCGTATAGCAGGGGATTTCCCAGGGCATATTTTCTTTAGTCCCTAACAGTCATCCTCTAACGAGAATTCTTTGGGTGTGCTGTGTGCACTGTGGGTTGGGAGTGGAGAGCGGAGTTGTAACCAAGCCCTTTTCTGGCCTTCTGCTTTTATATTGGGTTACACTTTGCCCTCACCTGTCCCTTTTCCAGCACTCTATCTGGCTTGATGCACCAGAACAAAAATTAATATGCAAAAAGCGGGGAGGGGAAGGGATGGTAGAGATAGCTTTTCTCCCTACTAGGTTGGGACTTTTCCATCTACTAACTAACTATAGAGAGACTATGTTTCAACTCTTCTTTCACTGCCAGATCCAGGAGAGTAGGGATGTGGTTTCTGGCAAGGTATTAATGATAAAATTTTGTGGTAACAGTGAGAGGCCCACGTACCACAAAAAAAAAAAAAAAAAAAAATTCTGTGGTAAATTTAAAATTCTGACATTTAAAATTTCTTTTAAGGGGGTCTTTTTTAACCAAAGTTTTGCATTTGGTAGCATAGACACTTTATGCTTCACCGTCTCTTCAAAGTAATATCTCCACTAAAATGGTACACTTGGGTCGCAGATTGGTTTTTGGCACTAACTTGGTTAAGTGCCCCCCTTCCCCCAATTGGAAACCACAGAGCGGTAACTTAGCTATTGCATCAGTACAGCAATATTGATACGTAGCTATTGCTCGCCAGTAGTTGTCTCTTCATTTTGATGGAAGGGGCCGGACTGAATGGACTCCATTATTCGTAACAATTGAGCATCCCATAAATTCTGCTTTTATTATTATCAATTGTGAATATGAACCATCTGATTTGCTAATTTAGTCAATTGTTCATTGTTACTTTTAGCAGATTAGCACCATAGGCAATTTAAAAATGAATTTGTTGCCTGCTTTTTATACTGTGTCACAAGGTTTTTGAAAAAGCTGGGGACACAGTATTGTCTTTCAGTTTAAAGGTTTTTTTTTTTAAAGGCAAAGAGCTCCCCTCCATCCCTGTTTTTCAGTATGTGTATGATGCGACTTCCATGTATATATAAAAATGATTGCGCCCTAACCAAACTTCCTCAGATTGTGCACTGTTTGTTTAAAATAATCACGTATTTTAGTCCAATGCTGTTGTATTTTTTCATTTTATTTAAAACACTACGTACTTCTTATTCTTTTAACAAGTTTTAAAGGGTAGTGATCTTAAAAAAAAATCACTGGATAACTAGGAAATATTTTTGTTGTTTAAAGAGTACAAAGGTCATTGAAGCCTTTTGCTCCTCTTACCATGAAAATGAAATGTTAGCCATTGTATGGCTAGGAACCAATGCACTTGGTGGTTAACAGATCTGCTGTTGCTGGAGTGTGAGCGTGGACTTGATGCAGTGACGACAAATCATTGCTTAGAATTAATGTTTTAAAATGTGTGACTCTAGTTTTTAAAACAAAATTTGGTTCTTCTTTTCATTATTTAGTTTTTGTTTCCATTTAGTATTTAATGGTCTTTGGAGAAAAAAAAATAATAAAACAGAGTGTTATATATATATTTTTTGGTGCAAGATAAGATTTTCTGTTTTTTGAAATAAGTCTGTAGCATAAAGGTTAAACTATTTTAAGACAAAATAAAATAGAGTGTATTTAAACAAAGATAATTTCTGAGGATTTTTTTTTTCCATCTGCTTCAGTTAATTAGATGGTGCCTGGAGCAGCTCCCAAGTTAGCTTTTGGATGTGAAAGTGAATTATATTTTGTTATTAGATCTTATTGTTAAAGTTCCCTGATTTTTTCCAAGCAACAGCTGTATCCTACTCCTAGAATGTTTTGCAGGTGGCCTTTGGTGTGTTAGATTTAGATAAAAATAGTTTTGCATTAGCTTTCCTGTAGCCCCCACTTCCCTTTCCAGTTAGAACCAGTGAGATTTCAAAGCTGGCGAAAGGCTCCCTAGTGCTAGGCCCCTTTGCTCCTGGGAACAAAACTCAGCTGATAGTTACTTCCCAGAGACCAACGTGCCAGGGTAAGATGCTGTGACTGTGTGCACTTTGCTCGTGGTTGAAGCAAATACAGGGTGTTTCAAAAATAGCCCAAAGAACTTTCCTCCTAATTTGGTTCTATTTTCAGGGTTTTTATTTGGTTATCAAAATGACAGGAACTACTTACTGCGTTAACATCTCATGACTTTTGTAACTTACTTCATGTAAAGGAGAATGAGGAACCAGACAGAGTAAAGCCTGTGTTTATTAAAATATTCACTCCTGGATCTCTTTATGTTCATCAAATTTTTAGTCCTACCTGCACTGGAAAGAGATCTGTTAACAATTAGGAAGTACACTGTTAACAGTTAGGAAGTGTTTTTAGTTTTGGGAAATGGTTCTTTTATACTAGTTTGTATCTGAGACCTAGACATGTTAGTGCCTATGAGAAACTTCTTTTCTTGGGCTCTAGAAGAAAATTTTTTGCTTAGGGTCTTGTTTTTGAACGCTTTTGCCCTTGGACGCTGCTTTTGAAGAATAGACAAAGCATGAGTAAGTAAAATAATCTGTGGCTAGTACTTAATCTCATTCTGGCTTCCTCTTTCTATTCTTTGCTGGCTTTTGGCCTTGCCTTCCCTTGTTTGTATGTTTTTCACAGTAGATGACAGCTATTTATAACTTTAGTCCAAACAGAAAAATTACATAAATCTTTACAAAATACATAAACATCTCTTCAGCTCCAATTTTGCAATTGAAGTAAGGTGAATTTCTTCTAGGTTTAGGTTTTGTTTTAACCATTTTGCTGATCTATGGAGTGATCCTGCTAGGTCACTGGTAGGTATGATTTTCTTTACTTTCTTGACTCTGTGTTTGAGAGCAGTGATTTACAGAATTAGAGAAGTTCCTGGGCTATACAGTGGAGCTTTGGCTGGGAGAATATGCCTGGAGCAAAAGAAGGCAGTGTCAAATATTGGAAGGAGCAATGCGCTCAGAAAAAGATGCAGGTGATGGTCATGAACATGATAGTGATGTGGAAAGAGCATCCATTAGCCCAACAGAGGTTGTAACACTGCTGGCTCAATTCAACTGCCATTGCGCTACTTTGCGGGTAGCATGCCTTCTAGATGGAGATGGCTTTAGGCAAGGATCCCTTTGTGTGATGAGGATTCACCATTTCTTTCTTTCCTTTCTGCCAAGCCTTGAGATCCCATTTGGTAGGTGGATGTTAGTAAAAGATGAGAGCGAGTGCTGGCAGTGAAGTCAACCCTCAGAAAGAAGGTGGTGGCAGCAGCTTGTGTGATCTGCTCATAGATCCTGGCCTTCAGGGTGGGAACACCTCTTGGTTGTAAATTCTGTTGATCTAACTTCTTATTCTTTGGTAAAGGAAACTATTTGGTACCAGTTTTTTCCTTTGTGCTTTGATAATCGACACCTCGAAGGAGTCATTTCTGTTTCCTTCCCGTGGCTGCTCTGTCCTAAGAGTGGGAGGGTGAAGTGTTGTGCACCATTGAGCCCTCACTCTTGTGCTTGAGTCTAAAGCAAGCAAGTGTGACTTTAGGATGGATCTTGGCACCTGCAACAGGAGGGAAATCAGACCAGAGGGTAGAGGGACTGATGTTTAAAAAGCCTGAACCAGAGAGCAGGAGACTCCAGAGAAAGACTGACCGCTAAGGGATTTGATTTCTACGCCTTAAAATGGAGAATTTCTAAGATTTATTTTCTGAGACTGAAAGACAGGACTGTGTTATTTTAGGGAATAATTCATTGTTCTGCAGAGCCGTCGCTTTTCAGGCAGGAATTGAGGAGAGTGGCTTACTCCAGAAAGCTGTTTAAAGGACTACAGTTCTATCATCTCACTTAAGTTTTGGAAGGCGTTGGATGACTAACGCCCACAAAACCTTGAATTTCTACAAATTCTTTATTTTCAAAGTTTTAAAAGAATATGTATTTCAAAATTTTCACATGGGGGTAAGAAGTGGTACAGATTGTTATCCTGATTTTGCAGATTGGAAGACTGAGAACAGAAGAATAACATATCCAGATTTACATAGCTCGACTTAGCAAGAGTAGATTTTTTCTGTGGTCCAAATTAGGACTTTTTAGCTTTAAGAAAAACAAAGCCTCTTTTTTCCACCTGGTTTTTCCTTCATTGTTATTGCTGCTGATTCTACTTTGTTCTGGCCTGAGAAGAATTGGAAGAAGTCTTCCTGAGAAGGTAATGTTTGATTGGTTCCCTTTTTTCTTGGGCAAGTGGTCACAGATTTAAACATCAGAACCGCACACCTGCATATGCCTCTCAACTCAAGCTCAGGAATGGCCTTGGAAACTTTTCCCATAGATAGATTCCCTGTCTCATACTTTATGGAACAGGAAAATGTGGATGGTCAGTAAACATAAAAAAGATGCTCAGGCTCACTACTAATTATGGAAATACAAACTTACATTACAGGACACCATTTCACATAGGCAGAATCAGATAAGAATACATTTAAATCCAGTAAGGAGGCAGGACATTGGCAATTCACTTGTCTTCTTGTATGAGCATAATTTGCTACAATTATTTTGGAAAACAGTGGAATTGTCTAGTAAAAAACTGAATATGTGCATATCTCAAGCTATGGACTGAAGGTTTGGGTTTCCCCTCCCTCCCATTCATATGTTGAAACTCTACTGCCCAGTGTGATGTTATTTGGAGGTAAGGCCCTTGGGAGGAAATTAAGTTTATATGAGATCCTAAGGGCAGAGCCCCCATGATGGGATTAGCACTCTTATTAGAAGAAGAGGAGACATGTAAGACACAGTAAGAAGGCAGCTGTCTGCTAGCCAGAAAGAGGGCTCTCATCCAAATCAGACCATGCTGGCGCCCTGATCTTGGACTTGCAGCCTCCAGAACTGTGAGGGAAAAAAAAAAACAAAAAACCTGTTGTTTAAGCCACCTACTCTGTAGTATTTTGTTGTGGCAGCCGGAGCTGACTAAGAGACCCATGACCCAGTAGTTACACTATCTGGGATGATACCCGTGAGCAACTTTTAAACTGTTGTGGTAGCCTAGGTAGGGAAGTCATGAAATCAGTTCAGTGTCTGTCAACCATCTTTTGTTTATGTAAGGAAATATTAACAACATAGAAATAACAGGAGACAATATTGTTACATGATACTTTTGTTATATACTGATAAACATTTACACACAAACATGTATGTGTACGTAGGGTCAAGATATAAAATGTATTTTATTTATTTTTACTGTGGGTTGCAGTAAAAAGATATGGAAAGCCCTGGTTCTAGAGAAACTGATTTACATGCTCAGAAATGTTTAGTGTCATTTTTCCCCAGTTTTTGGCTATTTCAACATGGATGTTCATCTATAGGATGGATAAACATTGTGTTTATAGAAGGTGTAGCCACTGTGAAAATTAATGAACTAGAGCAATATTTATACACTTATATTAGTTATATCAACATGGATAAACCTCAACACTGGAGTGGAAAAAAAGCAAGTTGCAGAATCTGTACTACATGATGCCATTTACATGAAGTTCAAAAAGACAAAACAATACTACATATTGGTAAAAAATTGATACACACATAATAAGAGTATAAAGAAATGCATGAGAACAATAAACACCAAATTCAGACTAATGGTTGCCTCTGGAGAGGGAGGTAAGGAGGGGTCACAGGGACTTCAACTTCACTGGCAAAATTTCTTAAGCTGGGTAGTGGGGACACAGATGTATGTTATTATTTGTACCTTTATGTATATCTTAAATATTTCATAATAAAAATTGTTCTCTGTCTCAAGCAGAAGGAATAAAAGCTCTTTATGACGTTCCAGATGATATTAGTGGAAATGAGTAAGATCTAAAGCTGATTCCTTTTAGATGCCCTCAGTACTTTTTGGATATGTCACCATAAGCAACAACAAAAAATAAATTTGATAAATTGGGCTTTAACAAAATTAATTTTGTGCTTCAAAGGATACCATCAAGAAAGTAAAATGACAGCCTGTGGAATTGGGACAAAATATTTGTAAATCCTATATCTGATAAGAGACTTGCATCTAGAATATATAAAAGCTCTTTCAATTCAATAATAAAAGACAAAAAGCCCAATTAAAAAAATCTGAATAGACATGTCTCCAAGGAAGATATACAGCTGGTCAATAACACATGAGAAGATGCTCAACATCATTAGTCATCAGGGAAATGCAAATCCAAACCACAATGAGATATCACTTCACACCTACCGGGATAACTAGAATCAAAAAGTCAAATAACAGCAACTGTTAGTAAGGAAGTAGAGAAATCAGAAGCTTCATACATTGCTGATGGGAATGGTCCAGCCGCTTCAGAAAACAATTTGTTTCTCAAATGGTTAAACGTAGAGTTTCCATGTGACTCAGCCATTCTATCCCTAGGTATACACCCAAAAGAAATGAAAACATATGTCCACACAAAAACTTGTACACAAATGTTTATAGCAGCAGCATTCATAATACCAAAAGGAGGCAACAGCCCAGATGTCTATCAGCTGATGATGCTTTATGCTACAGCATGGATGAACCTTGAAAACATATGAAAAAAGCCAGTTACAAAAGACCCCACCACATATTCTTTCGTTTATAGAAAATGTCCAGAATAAACAAATCTATAGGAACAAAGAATAATGATTGCCAGGGGCTGGGGGGAGATGAAAGGAGGGAGTGATTGCTAATGGGTGAGAGGTTTCTTCTTGGGGGGTGAAGAAAATATTCTGAAATTCCATAGTGGTGATGGCGCAGCACTCTGAATTACACATTTTAAAAGGGTGAATTTTATGGTATGTGAATTACATCTAACTAAAGCTGTTACTAAAAAAAATTCCCAATTACCTGAGGGTACCATGCTTTAAGCTGCTAAGACCTTGGCATGAATGGGTGCAGGCACACTGCAGAAAATGGATTTAGATAGTTGGGGCATAATGAGGAAGTTTCAACCCAGCTTTGAAAAGGGACTCAGGAGACCAACATGACAGTAATTGAAGCCAGGCATGACCAACTTTCTCACTGGGTGTGGCCTGCCCTGACCCTGAGATGCAATTTTAGGAGGGGATCTACCCTCTGTGGAGAGAGGTGTGGCTTGCTGAGGGTGAAGATTTTTCAGAAAGAAACCAACCCTTCCCCACTGAAATATAAGTGATTGCCCTCAAGGCAAGGTCAGGACCATTTCCTGTGAGCTCCTGGGACCTGCCCCTGGTTTTTGCCCAGAAAGTTTACAGCCACCCTGAGAGACCATTCCTGATAGCTGACATCCTGCTAGAGTGGCCCTAACTGCACCGTTTGGGCAGTGAGTCACATGGGGTTAGAGTGGGGTCAGCGTCTCGCTAGCTACGCCCCTGCCGCCTGGGAGATTCTGCTTTAACTACTCACACGCTCTCTCGGTTGCCATCCCCTGAGAGTCGGTGTCACTGCTGAGAGTTTGTGGTGTCCTTCAGGGGTGCTGAGGCAGAAAACACGTTAGGACCTTAGTTTTATGCAGTGCTGGGTAGTACATCTCCTCTTTGATCCAGTTGGTAATTTTCCACTTCCCAAAGTAGACGGCTGAATTCTACTGCTTAGCTCTTTGGGCTCTTGGCAGAGTACATTCGTTTGTTGTGACATTAAAACTGTATACCATTAAAAATGTGAACCTTTCACTCAGCGATGAAATATGCAAAATCTTCAGCACAGGCACCAACCAATCAGAATTAGCACTGGAAGTAGGGCTGGCACAACCTCCTGTGGCAGGTATGGGATTTACCCTCTCATCGCTAGACTGCAGATCCTGGGGAGCGACCAGGGCGGTGGGAAGGGCACTCCAGGCAGCTCCAGGAAGGGGCTCTTTGCCAACTGCGATTGAAATGTGGCATTATTTTAACAACTGATAGAACCAAAGTAGTGTATACTGTCAGAGAGTCAGTCTTGCATTCACCTAACCTGTCTGTGCCTCTAGTTCCTAACTCATAAAATGGGGATGAGAGTACCCGCTTTATGGGATTGTCATAAGGAGTAAATGAATGGGGGCCATCAGTCGATGCCATCAGTCTCGCCAGCTTTGCACCAGTCAACATTGTTTGGCTAGCTCAGCCGGGAAGCGTGTAGACCAAATTAAACTTGTCTGTAGGCTACTAACAATCTTAGAGCAGCAAAGTTAAACCCTCACAGCATTTTTTTCAGAAGTGAAATACTTCAGAGAAAGCAATCAACAGTTTGTTTATGTGATAACTGGCATGGGGTGGTGAAAAATAAAATGTCCCAAGGTCTGCCTTAACTGCTAACAAGCTGTGTGACCTACCAAGGTCATCCTTCTCTCTGGATCTCAACTTCTTCATTTCTGAAGGGCCTGCCACTTGCAGGCCTACCACTGTGGTGGCGTGGGGCAATCAAATAAGGTAATAGAATAGGATGATTCAAAGCACTTTAGAAGTTTGAGACCCAAATGACTGTGGAAGCAAGGCTGTAATGGAAGTTAACACATTGGGCCAGACAAGTGGGGGACTGTGGCACACTGGAGAGAGCACATGCTTTGTCCAAAGGGGAGAGCTGTGACTTGTCATGAGAGAATACAGGCTTGATGTTGCCAGATCTGTGGATTTTTCAAGAAAAGACATCTGGATTTTAAAAATGTATATGTGAAATTTCTGATTTGTAGACACTCTTGTGTGGCCATGGTCGGACCTCCTGAGTATACAGCTTGAATAGAACTGTTGGTACAGGAGTACTCCCTTCAGTCCTTCAGGAATGGGATAAAAAGCGACGAGCCCGGGGTGGCCCAGTGAACTGACCCTTATTTTGTAGAGGCTGCTGAGACTACCAAGCTCCAGGTGCATCTCTGTTGTAAGGGACAGAGGATGCCTCACGGAGCTGTGATCAGTTCCCATCCTTGGTCTCGTGGATTGCCTGAGTACATCTCTCTGGTTGGCTAGACAGTCAACTGAAGAGAATAGAGGCCAATTTCGTGTCATCAGTCTCACCAGCCCTATAACCTAAATCAATCCTATTTGATCTAGCTCAGCCAGGGACTGTGTGGGCCAAATAAAACTTGTCTGCAGGCCTGATTTAGCCTGCAGGCTGCCAGTTTGCTGCCTGTGTACGATGCAGATTTCACTGGTTCAGCAAATACTAAATACTTGCTATGTGCTAGGCAGTGGGCCAGACTCCAGGGACATAAAGGTGACTGGGAGTCAGTATTCCCCCTCAAGTAACTTTGGTGTAACAAACCATTGTCACAAAGCCTGACAAGTGCTGAGACAGAGCTCAATGCAGTGGGAACAAAAAGAAGGCTCCCTGAGCCACCTTTGGGGTGGAGTGAACAAATGGAGGAAGAGCTCCTGCAGAAGGTGATGGTGAGCTAAGTTTGCAGGATGGGTAGGAACTATGAGGTCAGAGGAGGTAGAAGGTGGAGGGTGTGGGTGGGTGCTGTTCCGAAGCTCAGGCAAAGCATGGAAGTGAGAAAGAAAGCACAGCTCATAGAGGAACTGCATTTTGGGGGGAAAGGGGGTGAATGGTGGGGAGTAAGCTGGAGATATAGTTGGGAGCCATGAGGCAAAGGACCTTGAATGCCTCACTAACATCTCACAGATGCTCTAGCTGTTGGTCTCCACTAATAGAACATGTGTATTACTCTCTAAAAGCCTGCACTTTGAGGCAGAAAATGAATGTCTAAACACATACATGCAGTGGAGGTGTACCTCTGAAATGACGGGAACACTAAAGTATTGTATGGAGGGGAGGAATAAGAGCAGCTCCTCCTGGCAGTAAAATGGGGAGTGAATTAGAGGAGAATGGAATTGGAAGTGGGGAATATGATTAGGAAGCTTCTGCAGGAATTGAACAGATAAGAGAACAAGGCTGTATCAGGTGGTGGGAAGGAGAAAAGGGAGGAGAGGTCAGAATGAAAAAATCAATTTAAGAGGTTGACTCTGGAGGACTTGGTTACGGAGTGTTGGGGGTACTCAGCATGTGAATGAGGAAGGAGGAGTCAGGAAGAGAGGCTCCCAGGTTATTACATCCACTGAGTAGGAAATGCAGAAAAGGGATCAGGTGTGGAGAATGTAGCAGAGGTTTTTGAGTGTCCCATGTCATAGACCTCTAAGACAAGGACAGGTTATTGCACTTTGTACTCTCTGCCTTAAGAAGGAGACGTAGCACTTGGTGGACCTCTTTGGCTTTGGGACACAATACATACCATATTTGGAAGTACCGTTCCCGCCCATTCATTGAGCGACTTAGAGCAAGGAAGGGCTCTGCAGCAAACCCAGGCTACAATGCAAGCTGCGTTGCTGCTTGGACCATTATGATACAGCAAATCCAGTGGTGCTAGAAGCATTCCTGGTGGATTAAAGTACAGTGTGGAGTCTCTGGCAAGCCCCAATAGGAGGGATGTATTATGGATCCTACAGGCTTTGGAGCAAGGCTATGCCTTCTGCAGCAGCGAGCTATTCACCATTTGTAAAGCAGCTCCCAGCTTGCTCTTGGGCCCTGACCATGCAACACCAAGTGACCAAAACATCAACTGCTCATCATGAGCTGGGTTTTGTACCATTCACATTATGAATCCAGGCAGGCCCAATGACAGTCCAGTCTAAGATGAAAGTAGTACATCTAGGACTGGGCAAAAGGCCAAGGGGCACAAGTAAGCTGCACAAATAGGCTAGCTGCACAGGCTTCTTCCTCAGACCTCCAAGGCAACCCCCCTGTTGTATAGATGACTCTCCCACAGTTCACACCAAGCATTTTCTTGTGACCAGCTGCTGGAGGAAGAAAGATCCCAGGCCTGGTTCAATGT